TTGTCAGAGTTTCTTGGTGATCAAGGCATTCTCCATGAAACAACTTGCCCCTATACTCCACAGCAAAATGGGGTGGCTGAAAGGAAAAATCGCCATATCTTAGAAACGGCACGTGCACTACTTCTGGGTGCTTCTGTTCCTAAGGTTTTTTGGCCTGAAGCTGTTACTTATGCCGTCTACGTGATTAATCGTATGCCCTCTCGGGTGGTTCAGTTTCAAACTCCGTTTCAAGTCCTCACTCAACATGTTCCTGTGGTGTCTTCTCATACTCTCCAACCCCGGGTCTTTGGGTGTGTGGCGTACGTGCATATTCAGAAAATTCATCGCACTAAGTTGGATCCGTGTGCACTTCGCTGTGTGTTTGTTGGTTTCTCCTCTCACCAAAAAGGATATAAATGTTATCACCCTGCGACTCGTCATATGTATGTGACCATGGATGTGACCTTCTCTGAATCCGAGTATTTTTATGCGCCCGTATCTTCATCTTCAGATCCCCAGGGGGAGAGCTTTAGTGATGATCTGAAATGGTTGGACTTGGAAGGAATCCCTGTGGTTGATGCCGTGCATAATGGGGCAGTGATTATACATGCCGAGAATGATAAATCTGCAATTGTTGCCGATAGCAGCATGCAGTCAGGACCGGTTCCAGATGAGAGTGATCCCGAGAGTGATAAATCTCCAACAGTCACCGATAGCAGCATACAGTCAGGACAGGTTGTTGACGAGCCTACTAATGTACCCCCTTCTCTCTCTAGCTCCACAGTGCTGCCCAATGAATCTTCTCTGGATATACCTGAGGTAAGTATTGTGGATGATTATGTAACTAATACAAGTAATGATGTAAATACATATAAGCTGCCACCGAGACAAAATCGGGGTGTGCCTCCTAACAGGTTTTCTCCGGAATGCAAAGTGAAGTATCCAATAACCAACTATGTCTCATGCAATGGTCTTGCATCAGAGCACAAGACTTTGGTGGACAATATGGAGGCTACTCGAGTACCAACCCGTGTGGAGGAGGCTCTAAAGGATCAAAAATGGGCAAACGCAATGGATGAAGAAATGTTGGCGCTACAGAAGAATAATACCTGGGAGGTGACGTCTTTACCAGAGGGAAAAAAAACAGTTGGCTGTCGTTGGGTGTTCACTGTCAAATACAAAGCCAATGGATCAATCGACAGGTACAAAGCAAGGTTGGTCGTTAAAGGATACACCCAAACATATGGTGTAGATTATCAAGAAACGTTCTCTCCGGTTGCCAAGATGAATACGGTACGAGTTTTGATATCTTTAGCTGCTAATATGAACTGGCCATTAAACCAGTTTGATGTGAAAAATGCCTTTCTTCATGGGAACTTGGAGGAAGAAGTATATATGGATTTTCCTCCTGGGTACAGTGCTGGTAGAAGTACCGGAGTATGTCGGTTGCGTAAGTCTCTTTATGGGCTTAAGCAATCGCCTCGTGCGTGGTTTGATAGGTTTACTTAAGTCATGAAAAAGATTGGGTATTACCAAAGTCATTCTGATCATACATTGTTTGTCAAACGGAGACAGGAAAAAGTGACGGCCCTAATCATCTATGTAGATGACATGATTATTACTGGGGATGATTGTGATGAGATTTCAAGGCTACAGAGAAATCTTGCGGCTGAGTTTGAAATGAAGAACCTAGGGGATTTGAAGTATTTTCTTGGAGTCGAAGTTGCTCGATCGTCGAAAGGTATTTTCTTGTCACAACGTAAGTATGTTTTGGATTTGTTAAAAGAAACTGGTATGCTAGGATGTAAGCCAGTTGATACTCCTATTGTTGAAAAACATCATCTATGTTTGGATCCGAATCAGAAATCAGTTGATAAGGGGAGATATCAGAGACTTGTAGGGAGACTAATTTATTTGGCTCATACACGTCCAGATATTGCCTATGCAGTAAGTGTAGTAAGTCAATTTATGCATTCACCGAGTGAAGATCATATGGCTGCTGTTATGCGTATCTTAGCTTATTTAAAGTCTGCACCTGGAAAAGGAGTTCTCTATCGGAAGCATGGACATTTAAGGATTGAGGGGTTCACGGATGCTGATTGGGCAGGAAGTGTAGGTGACAGACGGTCTACTTCGGGATACTTTACTTTTGTAGGAGGAAATTTGGTTACATGGAGAAGTAAAAAACAGAAGGTAGTATCAAGATCCTCGGTTGAGGCCGAGTATCGAGGAATGGCTCACGGCATTTGTGAGATTCTCTGGCTTCGAAAGCTTCTTGAGGGACTTGGGTTCAAGCCAAAGGAAACCATGAGACTATATTGTGATAATAAGTCAGCAAGAGATATAGCTGATAATCCGGTACAGCATGATAGGACAAAACATGTGGAAGTTGATCGACATTTTATTAAAGAGAAGCTTGAAAGGAAGATTGTGTCAATACCTTTTGTGAAGTCAGAGGAGCAACTTGCAGACGTTCTAACTCATGCAGTATGTAGTCGAAGGTTTGATGACTCACTTGTCAAGTTGGGCATGTATGATATCTATGCACCAACTTGAGGGGGAGTGTTAGCGTAAGTCAATATTAGGAAAAATAGGGAATGTAAATAATAGGAGTCCTTTATTAAGTAGGTTTGTGTATATGTTTTTTGTTTCCTTGTAAAACTATGATAGCACATGTATATATTTCTAAACAAGTAATAGAAGTATTATTCCCGTAAAAGTTCTATTGTCCAGCTTGCTCTCTCCAGCCTTACCCACGTTAATCTCCCCTCGTCGATCTCCCCGCGCCCATCTACCCAACCCTGGGCGGGAAATTTGGAAAAGAACTAAATTATGCCTCATAGCCACCATTTTAATTTTATGATAATTATAATCCAAATTTTAATGTAAAAATACTAATATACCCTTAATTTTAGAGTCCCACAACAACCAGAACATAACTTATAATAGATGGAAAGAGTTTTCCGAATTCCCACGTTATTGTATGTAACCTTTAAACTATCTTTAGATATCTGCAACCTTTAACTACACATTTTATATCTGCAACCTTTAAACCAAAATGAAAGCATGAATTAAAAACAAACAAAAAAAAAAAAAAAAAAAAAAAAAACAAAAGCTCCTTTAAGTAATATATCTTTGAACACTACTGCATGAATAACTACAAGACACAAACCTTGGAAAGTCGTATGTTAAACCAGCAAACATATCATATAAACTCTTTGCATCTTTTGTTCTTAAACTCGAATGATATAAAAGCCAATAAAGTAATAAATTCCAAAGAAAAACATTCACAATTGTGTGCTGGAATGGAGTCCACTTGGATTCTTGCAAGTTTGGCGAATGTGGCATGTTCCACCACATCGACTGCATTTCTTCACCATCCTTTCCTCCCCCTGAGATGGGATTCTGTTTGTCTTGCATCTTCCAAATATAGCTTGTCTAATTGTGGGTAACACACTCAATTCTGCACCTTTTCCAGCACACTCCATTCACTTTTGTTTCCAACCGGCCAAATGAGCTTTGCATTAGCTAGCACAATTGCATTGATTGTGTAGAATTGGAAGCACATATTGTATAATGATGTGTTGCAAATTCGACATGCAACAGTTTCATGGACACATAGAAGTTGATCAAGATCATACCTTCTGCATGTGCATGTCTTCGCATTTAGGTCAATTATATGATATAAGTCCCCCTCACGTACTTGCAATGCATAGTGATTAATAGAAGATACATGCATAATGGTTCAACCATGTGAAAACAAGGAACGTTAAACATATATATGTGGCACTATGTAACAATTTGAGATACAGAAGTTAGGAACTAAGAGTTGTTCCAAACCATTGAAACATGACAGTTTAATCATGAAAAGTATTAACAATTCTATACACCCTTTATGTTGAACCAGGTTCACAGAATATAGTACAATTTATGTTATCCTCTTCAAATCCCACATATATTACATACCTTTCATATCAATTACTGAGATGTATGTATATCAATTATCAAAAGTAGACGAAGTCTTCAAGATTACATTGGTAGGCATCTTGGCACTTCCAATAAGGTTCTAAAATTTATGGGTGATTGAACAATGAAAGTGCAGCCCAAGGTAAACGCACGGCTGTTGTATCCTTTTGGAGATTGAAATTGTACCATATATAGGTTGTGTTTTGGTTATTGTAATAAATCATAATATTAAGAGTATATTAGTACTTTTACATCAAGTTTTAATTATAATTATTATAAAATTAAAATGATTGCTATCATTCTGCATGGAGTCTAAAATTTGATTATTTTTCTAAATTTTCCATTTTTTTTTTATAAGGTTCAAAAACTTATATGGTTTGAAATTTAAAATGGTTGTGAAATCTATAACAATTCAATCTCATAAGGGGGCATTTAAAGTACCCCATCTTATTTTATACGACAATGTTGGTTTTTTGTCATGTTATTGGCCCTTTCAACCCTTTGGTGAGATTTGGTCTTTCTTTACTCAATTGTGTTCGATCTTTCTATCTACTTGCATCCTTCATGCGTGTGTGCAAGAGACAACTCTCTCTAAACGACAATATCATTAGCTGGTGAAATTTGGTTGACACAATAACCAAACACGTTTGAGTAAAGAAAGACCAAAGTCAGTCTGACCTTGTCTTGTCTTCCCTCCAAAGGAAACTAGAAAAGTAAGAGAAGAAACGAAGTTTTACAACATTAAACAATAAAAATGCTTTTACAAAACTATGACGCTCAACTAAGGTTCTCATTTTGAGGACTTGTGAGGTTCTTTTTTAAATATATCTTTAGATTAATTCAACGGTAAATAAACTATTATTTGAGTACCAATAATAATCTTCTTTATTATTTATCTATTATTTTAAAGAAAGGTTCATGCATTCAAGTTCAACCTTCATGCATTCAAGTTCAACCTCTTCTAATCGGCAAACAACAAACTTGTCTTCCACGGCTCACGCGTTCAAGAAGAAGGGTTCTCCATCTCTCTGAGATTTTCTATTTTTTTTTTTTTGGCGTATAAAAAACATGACATGTTTTTGTTTGGACACCATCGACGATTAAAAATAAGAGGGCTGACTGGTAAAAAATTCGGTAGCTTCTTTGAATTCTTGAATTTTTTTTTAAGCAGTTTCTAAAAATCCAGCAATCCCAATCTTTTTAGTGTGAAACGGAGAATTAAGTTAGTAAGCCTAGATACCGTTAGATTGATCTAAAAGTTCAAAACTGCTGTAAACGCGCTACTACCATTACGTTCTTTCAATGAGAAAATACCCACTGTATCTGTTTAAATATTTGACCAATATAAGAAAGAAAGAAAGTGAAGAGACAAGGGAACAACCATTTTTCTGTGCCTTTCCTGCTCTCTTTCTGTCTCTCAGATTTCTTGGACTTGAAGAATGCCGAATTGGGAGCTGAAGACCTGTTGCAAGCATGATCAGGTCGTCTTCCTGGCGACTATTGGAGTCTTCACAGTTGTGATCCTTGTGGTATGCCGCTTCCCTTTATTTTTTCATTCACAGAAACTGTTTTTTTTCCCGGGAAAGTAAACTGTAAATTGTAGAAAGAAAGCTTAAGAGTAGTCTTTCCGGTGTGTTGGTTATGGTTTCTTGAAGTTGAGACTTAAGGAGATTACAGTCCACTTGTTGACCAGATAATTGAACTGTTTGTTTCCCGGTAAAGTAAACTGTAAATTGTAGAAAGAAAGCTTAAGGGTGGTTTTTCCGGTGTGTTGATTATGGTTTCTTGAACTTGAAGCTTAAGGGGTTTATAGTCCACTTGTTGACCAGATAATTGAACTGGGATCCTAAAAATGAAAAATATAAGGCCCAACGTATTATCGTTCGTTTGATTTTTTTTTTCTTAACATTTGTGCTGGTTTATATTCAGTTTCTTGTTGATTTTAGTGGTTTGGACTAACAAAGTTGATTTCTGAAACGCCGTTTTTAGTTTCCACTGGTATTTTCTTGGTTAATGATTGTTGTGAGGAAGTTATGCTAACCAGCTTAATAATGCATGATGTTATGCGGTGGATAGAATATCGGAATGGGGTTAGAACTTGATAGTAGCTTCCAAATTAAGATTTTTCATAAGATTTGTTCTTTTCTTTTCACTCCAAACCAAATGTCACTTTGGAAATGACATTTTTGCGGTATTTTTTTCTTTAAATGGTTATCAAACAAGAGTATGTATATGATATTAGAATCAATGTGTGCATGAGGGATTAGCAATCAGGGAGAGATGAAAGAATGCGACCAAGATGGTTTGGCCATGTGTAACTAGGGACTCCGTCAATAAGACCATTGCCAATGCACCTAGAGGATTTGGGAACGTTCATAGTGCTGTTTCAGGTTGTGCGAGGAGATTTGATGAGAATGGAAGGATATGAATATAGCAGAGTAACTTAGAATTTATTTGGCTAATCTTACATGATTTGTAGAGGGCCATGTTTATTTGGCTAAATATCTTGCGTTATTTTTTACTTTATTTTTAATCAATCTCCTTATTGGTTTAGCACTTACATGATCCAGTTAGACTTTTGATCTACAAGTTTTTTCGCACTGTTATAGCTTTGGAGGACAATACTACTCACGCCTTTTAAGCTCATCACGGTCTTCTTGCACGAAGCAAGCCATGCAATTGCTTGCATACTCACATGTGGCAAGGTAAGAAGAAGCTGTTTAATGTTTTCTATTCTTTTTGCTTCTTAAATGATGCGGTCAGATCCAAAGAGAAAAGAATAACTGCTTTCTTATACAAATTTCTATTTTTGAGAGCTCCAGTTCTTCCAAAAAATTTCTTTCTTGGTGATAGTCTGTACACAGGTTCACAAAATAATAAATGTAATTTGTTCACTTGTTAACAACTTCAAGCTAGGTAATAAGGATCTTTAACTAACACAGTATCCTAGTCAAGGATCCAAGGGAAATCATTTTTGGTGTTCACTTGAGGAGTCCATTAGAACGAAAGTCTCAGTGTCACTTTAGATCTTTGAGTGCAACTAATCTTCTGTATGATGCTACTTCGTAGAGAAGCAATGTACCAGGCCTTCTGTTGTCTGATTGAATGACTGGTGGTCCAACGTACCAGGCATTCTGTTATTTAGTGCTCTTTTCACTGAATTTCTTTATTGCTACGCTAGGTTTTAAATTTCTGATGTGGAATTATCTACACCATATAACAATTTGAAGTACTTTGATTAAGGTATCCTTAAGTAAATATGTCTACACCAACGCATTTTCTTGTTCTCTGTGTATTTTAGTGTGCCCTGTTTTGTCCTTGGGTTGAATTCGCTCATAGGAAGCTAATCCAAGATGTGTGTAGAACTATGATAACAAAGCCTTGATTAGGGAAATGGCCAAAAGGAAGGTATAGTTTGAAAACATTAGGCCAACGAACGATTTGGTGATGGTTGTAAGAGCCCAAGGAAGATCATAATCCCACAAACTGTTAAGACAACGTTGTTGGTCATTAGGCTTTAACAGAGCTTCTCAGCTAAAACTGTATTTGAAGATATCATTTCACACAATCCTTTTCAAGTTCAAAGCTTTCGTTGTCTTCAAGCTTGCAAAGTTCTCAGTCATTCGCTGTTACTAGAGCTCTTGCACTTATCTTGATCTTCACAAATACTGGTTTTAGAGTTACAAGGCTTTTCAAACTAAGTATTAATTAAGGTTGGCACCATAGGCAAACCCCCAGTCTTCCTTAATTGGTTCTTGTTTAAAATATCTTCGCGTTATTTTTCTTGGTCTGTTATTTTCAAAGTCGCTCGCTTGTTAAGTAAGAAGAGTTCACCTCTCATGTTGCATGAGTTTGAGTTTAAACACCTGATCATGATACACTTTCTGATTCATCAAGTCCTTAATTCATCATGGGATTGAAAAGATCCTTAGCTGAAAAACTTCTTCCTTGCTTCTCGTACAATATTCTGTTTAGAAGGTTGATCAATGACTTGCATTTTACTTTTCTAAGAAGCTTGTCAGCAGACTAAAGCTTGTTCTGCTTTCACCCATTCTAGAATGTTGCATATATTCAATAGGATCCATTCTCGCAATTACTATTGTCACTAATATTATTTTAACTCTTATCATCATAGTTATTGATTATTATTATTTATACGCTTGTTTTATCAATTTCTTTTAAATGTTTCCTGTATATCTCCTATTCCTTTGCAACTCATAGGTTTTATACTTGTTCAAACTTACAATAGTTGAAGCTTTCTGGTGGTGAATGTTGAGCACAGCATACGAAGTGTTTCTGTTTGAAGGCTGATATACACTACAACACGTTGCAAACTTGCTATCACGTACCACTACATTAAATGTCCTTAGCTTCTAGGGCTGTTGCATATCACTGATGGATTTTATTGTTTGAATCAATTTTGTAGGTGGAGGGTATCCAGGTTCACGCAGATGAGGGTGGGGTGACACAAACGCGTGGTGGTATATATTGGTTGATCTTGCCTGCAGGATGTACTACACCTTTGTCCCTAAACTTTATTTTTCATTGCAATGTATCCTTATTTTTGTACTTTACGAGACATTAATTATGGGCTGAAACTTTGAGATGCAATTTTTGAAGTTGTAAGCATGAATACGAGTGTCTTACTGGATTTAAGCATACATAGTTCCTCATATTAAGTTTCTTACTTTCTCACACGTGCATTTGTCGTTAGAAACTATTTTCCATCCTCAGTTTGTTATGCGTCATCTTCAATGTATGATTGTCTAAGATGTGTCTCAGTTCATGAAACGAGCGGATTGTGTATGCTGGCACTGAACATGGCATCTGATGCTAAAGTAGGACTGTTTCTCATGGTTTCATATTTCATGCATTCCGGTGTTATATGCAAACCATGTTGGCTTCAAAAATATGTATTTTTCTTACGGTCATTTAAAATTGGCTTTTGTGTCAAACTAAATAGTCATGACTTGTATCCAGATCTTGGTTCTCATAGTTTCCTGTTTCTTTCTGCATCCAGATCTAGGTTCATCATTTTGGGGAATGGCTTTAATACTCGCATCCACTAATCTCCTAACTGCTCGAATTGCTGCTGGTTGTTTGGGCGTTGCCCTGCTAGTTGTGCTTTTTGTGGCAAAAAATGTAAGGAAGCGCAGTAAACATATGCAGATCATAATGTTTCTCCTTTCTCATATTTTTGTGTTAGAACTTTTCAGGATCTTAATTTCTTCACTCTTGCGTTCTAAAAATTCTAATGTTTTATACAGTGGACACTTCGAGGACTTTGTATTGGTGAGTATCTTCACATGCGTGCAATACGTCTTTGTTTTATATTATTCACATAATTCCGTACATTACTGATCCTTACTGACGAGTCTTTCAGGATTTATTGTATTCCTTGCTATAATATGGGTTCTGCAAGAATTTACGAAAGTCCGTGTTCTTCGCTACGTTATTCTCTTCATTGGTACATTCTTATCTTTTCAAATCTCTACATTCTGAGATGAAGCTCTTAGTTCTGCATTGCTATATCTCTTGTGTGCCAACTGCGAAATGAAAAGTTTCTTATATTGCTTTTAAAATTGCAGGTGTGATGAACAGTTTGTTTTCAGTTTATGGTAATTCTCAGTGATTCTTGTTAATATATATATATATTCTGAACCTGTGAATCACAGATTTTATATCGCGTGACTGTAATTGTCGCAGATATATATGATGATTTAATATCTAGAAGAGTCAACTCTAGTGACGCTGAGAAGTTTGCAGAAGTTTGCCCCTGCCCCTGTAATGGGGTTGGATGGGGAGTGATTTGGTAAGTCTTATGAGCATACTGATGATTAAAACTTGAAATTCCTTATTTAAGATTTTAAATGTAATAGTAAAAAACGTAATTGTACTAATGATTAAAACGTGATTAAAACTTGACGTTTTTCATAACATAATAATTTTTTATGCGCAGGGGATTGATATCGTTTATATTTCTTTCTGCATCGGTGTATTTAGGGCTTGTCATTTTATCATGAGGTACAATCTTCTTCACAGAATTTATTTTACATGTGTATATTTAGTGACATTTATTTGTTTATCTTGTAAGCAAAGGTACAAAATCATTAGTTAGAATTACACTGAAACGAATCATAAATTAACAAAGACGTTACTTTTTCTTCTAGATTATGCATATAAAAGAAGTTGGTTGTGAAAAGCTGCATATGTCCTTTGATCAACATCTTGAAATGTGACGTTTTTAACGAAAGGTTAGATGACATGTTCGTAGGGGATTAAACATGTTCGTAGGGGGGGTAAACATGTTCGTAGATGAATTGTAACGAAAGGATAGATGTTTCTATAACATCTCTACTGCTCTTACTGTTTTCAGGTCCAAGAGATTTTCTATCAGTCTTCCCATATCGGCGCGGAGCCAGCTCTCACTTATTTTTTTATACTCATTGATGAGTAGTTAGTATCATAGCATTTTAGCCACACTTCATTCTTTCAACCCTTTTATTCTGGGTTACAGACTGTGATTGTGAAATTTGTACTGGACTGGTGTATTACACTCATAACAAAGGCTTAGAAATGTGATTTAAACAATTTATTCACATACTGTTTGTTATGAGATCATGGAGTAATAAAATTGACACCAATAATGCTATTTGTGCAATATCTACTATGTTCAGAAAGATTGTTAAACTGATCACATGCGGATGATCAATGGGTACCCATTTAGTTAAATGCAGGTCTATTTAAGTGTAAATATGCTTTAATTATAGTGGTGAATGGAGATGTTTGTGCTTGTGATGGTAACAGGAGTGATATATGGAGGAAAAGGATCATCGCTAGATCATTTTCTTAGGGATCCTAGGGATTCCGTGATCGTAATCATTCATCATATATCGTGTGATCAATTTTGGTTAGGTATTATTTATATTTAATTTTAAATTTTGAAATGATTTATGATCATACAATGTACGATGAATGATTACTATCATAGGATCCCTAGGGAAAGAATTCAGCAAGGATCTTTTTCCATATATGGAGTATACATGGGCACCCGCTGACTGTAATCCATCATTTCACCCATATAGACCCGTCATTTTTTTATAAAGAAAATTAATGAAAATGGCTTGAAAACTTTGAGTTTTAATGATAAGAACAAAATAAAAGGTAAAGTGAATAGTATCGGGATTGACTTTTTAGTGTAAAAATGTGGTTTTTCGTTAAAATGAACAGTACCGTGAGCTTTTCGTTCAAACTTTATTTTTTTATATTGGATTGTTCAGTACTTATGATTTTTTTAAAAATTTATTAACAATAGTGGTAACCACTTTTTTTATTACGATTGATCTGTCAGACTAAATCCCTTTGTCCAAGTACTGGTGTATGACATTAATTCAACAAATTACAGCTGAACATATCTAATCAGCTGGGCCATTTGATGTCTAATCCGCTACCCAAAGTTTGCAATACTAAATTGGCCTTTCCAAAGTTTGCAATCTTTTTGAGCAGTCTGAGATGCTTTCTGCTATATGGTGTGGTTGAATCTGCAAGTGGGAGCATAATTAAGTAAATGCTTCATACAAAATTGGCTTTATGACCACTAGCAAGTTGACTTTGTAGCCAACGTGTTTTAAACCACTAGAAAGTTGGCTTTTAAAGAAATGTTGGGGAAAAGAGTGAGGCTAAGTCGAGATTCACACTAATTTAAAAGTTAGAAACATGGCAAGCCAAGAAAATTGGAAGGCAAACAAACAAAAACCACCTGCGGAGGGTGTCACGTCACACCAATGTTGAGGAAGGCAAGCTCATCTTACCGGAACAATTGCGTACCAATTAATCATGGAGGAATAAAGTCATCCGAAATGGAGACAAGCTAGAACACTAGAAGAATTATTTTTCAACCGAAGTGTATGCCACCATGAACAAAATGATATAACTAGAGATATTACATATGTCTGCTTACATGTAAAAAGAAGTTCCTTACATGATACATTGACGTTATTTTACCTTATCATAATCAAAACTATTGATTCTCTTAATGATTATCTAAAGATCATTTAGAAAAATTCAGTGAACTTGAAGACTTTTAATCATCCATATAAATCAAACAAACTAACAATACAAATTATCATAAAATTAATACTTTTTATCATAACTGTCGATTTTTTGATACCATGAATCATCTCTAGAAATCAATTATTTCATTTTTCAAACGTTATGAGCACACAATTTACTCCAAATTGTTATATATCTCAAATCTCTATATGGATCCACACTTTATGGATTACAGTCACATGCTGCTCTACAACTGGCCTGCGTATAGAATTAGAAGCTGCAAAAGGTGAACTAATTTCATATCCAATCAAACTTTGTACTTTACGAGATTTAGTGCATTCGATTATCTTCTCTTCACCAGTCGAATGAATACCATTTGGATATAAAGGGGGTGGGACAGCATAGGACCCTTGTGGATATATCAGGTGTCTCGGATTGGATTCGATAATTCATTATATTCAAGCTGTGATGAAGAAGAAATGAAAATAATTGTGTAGCTACATTAAGGAAACTTATTTATTCCGATAACTCATTAGATTCGACTAGTTTCTTTCATCTCTAATGCCCTTCCAATCATCCACCTATATTTCTGCAAATTTTAAGGATTCATGTTTTTATCTATTTATTTTTTTCATCCGTATCCTATCAGGTTAAACGTTAAAGCATGACTTACAGTTTTTAGATAGCAAGTTTTACTGTGGCAGGTGCATGCTTGCCATGTTTTACTGCAGCAGGTGCATGCTGGCCACTGGGCTTTCTCACTTCACTACTTCTTGCAGTCCCGCAAAAGTAATAATAGAAGACTAAATTTGTAAACTAAATTTTAAAAACTAAAGGATATAGAAGTTGATGATTGATTTATTACTTAAACGTTGATAAATGTGTTCATTCCTATTGGTAACACATCATTTAATTTGCAAATTTAGTATCTCTAATATTACCTTTTCTACAAACTTGATCAAGTTGCATCCATAAATCGTGACAAAAAATAAAAGATTTAAGAAAAAAATCTTCACCTTTAAGTTTAACTTTGGTAAATAAAGCTTCGACTCTTCACCTTAACTTTCTTTGCAATAAAATACAAGAGATTATATTTATGTATCACAATTGTATCACCCAATACTTCAAAATTATATGCATTAACTAAACTAAAAAGATTTTTTTTTTTTCAAATGTCATATATTAGCTTACACCTTTTTGAAATGTCAAATAAACTTAGACATTTTTCAATTTGTCATATAAACTATAATTTTAAGCAATTTATCATATCAACTTTTAGAAATCATTAATTTGTTATCTCATTCTAACTCCGTTAAATTTTTCATTCAGAATAAGTTATATACCTTATGTTCAAGGTTATTTCAGACGTTTGACCTCCTTTTCATTTCATTTCATTCCTCGCCATGAGCAGTAACCATATAAAAATGACAAGTTTGATATTACAACTATTTTAGAGGACAACTACACTCCAAGAACATGTGCATATGTTTTGAGGACTATACTGTTTGAGAGAAATTCAAGTAGGATTACGTCATGTCCTTATAGTAAGTTTCATTGTACGTGTTCTAACATATCAAACATAGCTGGGTTAATTATGCGCACATCCCCCGAGGTTTCTCAGGTTTTCATAGAACCCCTTCAGATTTTGAAAGTAACACGAACACCTCTGATGGTTTCTCAAATGTTATGCTGGATATAAATTTAGATTTATATTTACATATTTCGTCGAAGATGAATAACTTGTATTTTGCCATTGGAGAATTTTTCAGCAAAGAAAAGATAGCAAAGGCATTTTGCATCTCTTATTGGTGAACGCCCTTAAGTGGATGAGAAAGCCACAATGCTCTCTTTTATTGTGTCTTTCAAGTATCTAAAATTTGAAAATATAAGTTCTTGAATAATTAAATGGTGGTGCTATTCACATACCCATTTTTAACTTTCATACATACTCTTTGTTAATTTTGTCCTTGAGTCTTGTTCAATTCATTCATTCCGATAGAAAAATTGAGAAGGGTGTATGAAAGGTAAAAAGAAGTGTGGATAACATCACCCTAATTATATTGGTGCATTTTTGCTCACTACCCTTAAGTGGTGGTAATGCTCACCACCTTACTTATTACCATTGAATTTTGAGATTTATTTCACGAGTAATGCTATTCATATCATGTTTTTGTACCACATTTTCATACCACCTTAGGTGACATTTGATGTGGACAACCACTTCATTTGAATTGATCAGATTTTTAATTTTAGTTCATTATTTAATAAACTAATAATTAAGAAAAACTAGTTAATTAAATGATGATTGTGGTATACTACGAGTCATTCTCCTTTCTTTCCTTGGGTTTTGCAAATTTTTCAAATGATATGGGTGTCCACATCAAATGCCAACTAAAATGGTATAGAAATATGGTATAAAAATATGGTATGAATAACATTACTTTTATTTCACCACCTCAATTGATCCACATGAAAAATGTAAACAGTAAACATTTCCTATGTGTGCGTGTGTAATGAAAAAATAAATCAAATAAAATTACCTTGAAGGCTTGACCCTTGGAGAGGGAATAAGTCGATCTTTATTCTCCACAGAATTTTGGCTACACTGATTAAAAAGAAGTCGGTATCCATGATCTGTCACAAAGTCAAAGGTTTAAATTTTTTTGCACGTTTTCTTTTATATTTGGTTTAGGGTTTACACAGATACCTAGCTATAAATTAATATTCGTTAAAGATCGGATTCGTTTATCAGCTTTTATATTTTCGAAAGCAACTTCAAACTTCTCAGTATTCTATATAAACCCATGCAGTGAAGGTTGGTGTCAACTGGAAATTAGTCAAGGTTGATGAGATTGAGTTTTGGAGAAGGTTTCAATTTCCCTCAAGGGCTTCCAACATTCCATATATATCAGTACTATGATCGATCGACGTCGAGTACGTATGGGAATGTTGGTTGCCGGAGGGAACTTTGAAGCATTGCTCCTCCGCTTTTGCTGCTGACTGAGTGACTCTCTTCGTTTTCCAGTACAAACTCTAAACCCTAATAGACTTATTTCACAGACTTAGTTCATAATTACGTGTGATTTTTTTTGTAATGAGTTCAATTTGCCTCTCTTTATATATAGTTTTTTTTCTGCTGTTTTTCTCTCCCTCTAATTATAGTGGGAATATTTGGGGGATTGGGTGGTCAATTTGGTGGAGTCTGGAGCAGGTAAATGACTGAAGTTGAAGAATATTACCACCAAGAAGGATCAAATGGTTTAGCTAGATCTTACACAGCCTTAAAACAATTTTCTTATACGTTTTGACAAAATTAAGGTTGTATTTAGGACAGTGTGTGTGCAGAAGATTGCTCGACTTTGAAGGTCTGCTCGACTCCTGACTACTTCAGGTTAGTTATCAGTTTCTGATGCCATTAATAAAATATATTTTCCCTTTTATTATTTCATTCCCAATTACACAATATATAGAATACATCAGTACGTACAAAGTTTAATTACAATTAAACGACTTGCAAAGCACAGCAAGACATGTCCAACACCATGCACTTTTATTCTTGACGCAATTTAGGAGATTTTGGAGAGATTTGTGAAGTCGAGAGAATCTCGATAACAATACTAACACTTAACAAAGCTAATAACATCAAAATCTTCATGCTTGTGTGTATATCGATTTAAATAAACAAGGGTTTTCGGTTGTAGTTTTGACTCTGTCATGATATGTATTTCATACCTTATAGTTCTTAATTATTATCTTGAATCTGTCATGGTTTTTCGAGAAGAATGGTTTTGAACTGAAACATTCATTTGGAAAACACTTTTTTTCTTTTTTCTTTTTTTGATTTCAAAAGTTAATATCAAATCAACCATTCACATACATTGTATGAGTGGATTTAATATTGGTTTCTTCAAGATTGAATGTGTCTTGAAGAAATTAATTTTAATCTAAATCTATATAGTTGCATTTCATTATCATTCATTGTTTATATGCAGAATCTCAGTGCCGCAAGATGAGTTTGAGTTGATAAATTGTTGAGATTGTGATGAATGAACTGAGTTTTGATGAGAAGAAATCGCAGGTTGCTCAGAGGTACTCAATTTGCTGCTTAGATGGATCAAGGTAATTGAGCTTGATTGAGAAGTCCTCTATTGAATGTTTAATTTGTCTTAGTGGATTAATTGTCTATTTATATATGAAGGACCTATGGTTTTTACCCTTGTACTAAAAACTAATCACATGTCCTGTGTTGGATGTGTGTCCTAAAACTAATTACAGGGATCACAAACCACTAATTATAAGATTAATCAAATATAAATATACGAAAGAGACTTGTTTCGTATATTCTGCACCATAGCTAAGAGGCTTCTTATGTGTATCGCTTGGATCATTGAGTTACTCATTGAGACGTGTAAATGTACAATAAGGTATCTCTAACTTTCAGTAAGAAAATCAAATACTCTACGACAGTGATTTGGAAATGTTGGAGAAAATTTTGCAGCATGTGGGTTATATATGGTTATATGAAAAATGAAAAATGAGTTAATTATATATACACTCATTAAGATTTCTCGGGTTTTCAGAAAACGCTATCATGTTTTGAAAGTAACACAAACAACCCCTGACGTTTCAAAATCATTTCACAAACCCCCTCCATGACAAGAAAACCCAATCAGATCGATGTGAAAAAAAAAATACTAAAAATCCCTTATGGCGTTAAAATAGTGTTTGACTACAAGTTTGGTTAGCCCTATGACTATCATATCAGACCAAAAAAACAAAACAAAACCATTAATATCACGCATATAAGGTTTTGTCGTAAATTTTTTTTTCCTTTCCCTTCTTGTGTTAAAATCAACAATCGCCAAAAAAACTGAAGAATTCTACGAGCAAACAATGTGGTATCAATCTCTTATTCTATTCTTCTTTTTTTCGCTTATGCTGTAGAAAGAACGGATGAAGATCATGAGAACTCAAATACTGCTCAACAAAGTACAAATTGCAGTTACAGAACAACACACAGATTGCTTGGTTCTACTTGTACGATGCGCAAGGCCATAGTTGTATGTAGAAGATAGTGGCTCAAAGACTTGTATCCTCCAATTTCCTTTTAATTAGTACATATATAAAAGTAAATCAGCATTTACTTTTTAGTTTTTACAAATACAAAACCTAATGTTCATGCTTCGTGGACACTGGCCATATGATTTTCCGAATGTTCTGCGGAAAATTTAAATGAATTGCACAAAGTGATCAGCTTCCTAGCTAGTTAAATTATGGTTATCCTTTACCTAGAAAAAATGAACAGAGGCCAGAACGGAATCATCTTCCCAGTTAAAAAGAAGTAAACAATTAAACTAGTTTTATATTTTTTTCGATTGTATTTGAAAATAACCTGCTCTTATTCTATGTCATAGAAAAATTCTCATGTATAAAACCAAAAAAAACCAGAAATCCAAGTTTTGGAAAAGGGATGGAACTTGTGATACAACCCAGAAACCTAGAAGAACATATCAATATAGTTTTAAGTGATTTTGAGTCATAAAAACACTTTTTTTAAAATGCTTCTTCAAGAGCATAAAAAGTTTAATAAGTACTTTCAGTAAAAACACTTTTACTACAAATGTTTTTTGTAAAAAAAGTCAATTTCAAACTGGAGAGATTTTAGAAACCATATCTTTGGAGTCAATTTCAAAATGGATGACAAGGCTTCAATTTTTTTTCACAATGAACCATGAGGTTTGGCACTCGTATTAGTTTATGTCTTTGTCAATTTGATTTGTTTTGAGTTCGTTTCTTCTTTGATATACCCTTGTATGTCTCATTAGAACAAGGAACTCATAGCCACTCTTTTTTCCCCCACAAGGGTGTCCATTAATCATGCATTGTAAGGGTCAAAATCTAATACACCTTAATTGTTAAGAGTGCTTATAAAGTGGTGTATGGGTTGAATTTTCTTTATGTTCGTCGGGGCCTATCTCTTCTATATGGGGAGCAATCTGGCATGTGAATGTTCTGATGTCGTTGAGTTCTTAGAGCATCTCCAAGAGAGATGCCAAAATGTACACATCAATTATAACAGTAAAAAAAAAGACCACACTAATATTCTCCAATCGAAGTGCCAAATCCTATGTGGTGATGACAAGGATTGGCAACGAAAGAGGTCGCTATCAAATTTGACAGCAGCTTCAAATATTTTTTTATTAATTATTAAATGTATTTTATTAATTTTTAATTAGTTTAATCATTTATTATAATTAATGTTGAGTTGACCGATGCAATTATTTTACTTTTTTCTTCTTTTCAAACAAGGAAGGTAAACAGATTACTGATTAAACTTTAAATGCCTTTTATTAAATTTTAATTAGTTTAATAATTTATTTTATAAAATAATAATTTAATTTGACATATCAGTTGGAGAACAAGACTTTAAAAAATGTCAAGGTGCCACATAAGTTGTCAAAATTTAAATTTTATGCTCAAACTTTGGCATCTCCTTTGAAAATGGTCTTAGCAGCAAGAGGACCAAGTTGTATCAGGTTGGTCCAGGCAGTTGGTTGCTTAAGGGTGGATTCCTCTCCTTTCATTCCTGTTGTTGAGGATGTTAAAATTGATTTCTACTAATTTTGCAACTCGCAGATTGACCAAAAGCGTTCTTGGTGAAAATGTTTTTGGAACCAATTTGTAATAAAAATATAAGTGAATCTTGAAAAAGTATTTAAATGCTTCTTACAAGAAGCACATAACTGGTGCTTTTTAAAGAAAACAATTCAAGTACTTTTGGAACCAAAAATCTTTTTTCATAAAACGATTTCAGTCATTTAAAGAATGAACTTTCAAACCAGCCCTATAAAGTTCCGATTTTTCGTAAATCAATGCTTAATGTTCCCAAACAACAAGTCAACAACCTTTTGAATATAAGTCAACAATTTTAGTTAAAATGGACATTGGATTTTTAAGTGTAATGGTAAAAAACGTAGTTGTACTGATGATTAAAACTTGACATTTTTTGTAACATAATAATCTTCATATGCAGGGGATTGATATCGTTTATATTTCTTTTTGCATCGATGTATCTAGGACTTGTCATTTTATCTTGAGGTACAATCTTCTTCATGGAATTTATTTTACATGTGCATATTTGGTGAGATTCATTTGTTTATCTTGTAAGTGAAAGTACAAAGTCATTAGTTAGAATTACACCAAAACGAATTATAAATTAACAAAGACATTACTTTTTCTTCTAGATTATGCATGTAAAAGAAGTTGTTTGTGGAAAGCTGCATATGTCCTTTGATTAACATCTTGAAATGTGACATTTTTAACGAAAGGTTAGATGACATCTTCGTAGGGGTTAAACATGTTCGTAGATGAATTGTAACGAAAGGTTGTATGTTTTTATAACATCTCTACTGCTCTGCTCTACTTTTTTCAGGTCCAAGAGATTTTTTAACAGTCTTCCCTATCGGCACGGAGAGTCAGCTCTCACTTATTTTTTTGCACAATCCATTGATGAGTAGTTAGTTCCATAGCATTAGCCACATGGTAGTTGTAAAGTTTGTACTGGACTGGTGTATTACACTCATAACAAAGGCTTAGAAATGTGATTTAAACAATTTATTCACATGCTGTTTGTTATGAGATCATGGAGTAATAAAATTGACACCAATAATGCTATTTGTGCAATATTATTTACTATGTTCAGAAAGATTGTTAAACTGATCATATGCGGATAATCAATGGGTACCCATTTAGTTAAATGCAGGTCTATTTTAGTGTAGATATGCTTTAATTATAGTGATGAATGGTGATGTTTGTGCTTGTGATGGTGATAAGGGTGATATATGGAGTATCCATGGGCACCCATTGACCATCCATAATCCATCATTTAACCCATATAGATCCGTCATGATTTATAGTAGTTTGTTCAGTACTTCTGATTTTTTCATAAATTTACTAACAATAGTGATAACCAACTTTTTTATACAAGTAAATCTTAAATTACGATTGATCTGTCATACTGAATCTCTTCATCCAAGTACTAGTGAATGACATTAATAAAACAAATTACAGCTGAACATGTCTAATCAGTTGGGCCATTTGATGTCTAATCCGCTCCCAAAAGTTTGCAATCTTATATTGGTCATCCCTTACATTCTTTTTGAGTAGTCTGAGATGCTCTCTGCTATATGGTGTGGTTCAATCTGCAAGTGGAGTATAATTAAGTGAATGATAATGTTAGAAAGACTAAATTTGTAGATAAAATCTTGAAAACTAAATGATATGGAAGTTGATAATTGATTTATTACTTAGACGTTGATAACGTGCTTATTCTAATTAGTGACACATTATTTAGTTTGCAAATTTAATCTCTAATTTAAATCTTCCTAGCGTTACCCTTAAATAAATGTTTGATATAAAATTGCCTTTATGGCGGATATAACTTGGTTGCTAAAAGAATCAGCATCATCCCCTTCTAATAACCAATCCTAGTTGAACATATGTCCAAATTACTGATAACCAATCATGGATGAACACGTGTTCAACTGTGATTTGTTATCAACAAGATGCTGCTGATTCTTTAGCAGCCATGTCCCGTTCCTTTATGGCCACTAGCAGGTTGACTTTGTAGCCAACGTGTTTTAAACCACTAGCAAGTTGGCTTTTAAAAAAATGTTAGGGATAAAATGAAAATTACAGATCAGAAGAGCTATACTAACCTGTAATTCGAGATTCACATTAATTTAAAATTTAGAAACATGGCAAGCCAAGAAAACTTGAAGATAAAGAAACAAAAACCACCTGCGGAGGGAGTCATGTCACATCAATGTTGAGGGAGGCAAGCTCATCGTAGCGGAACTATTGCATACCAATTAATCATGGAGTAATAAAGTCATCCGAACGAAGACAAGCTACAACACTAGAAGAATTACTTTTTAATTAAAGTGTGTTCACCATGAACATAATGATTTAACTTAGAGATATTGCATGATTCCTTACGTATAAACAGAAATTCTTTACATGACATCATGACATTATTTTACTGTATCATAATCGAAACTGTTCATTCTCTTAATCATTATCTAAAGGTCATCTAGAAAAATTCAATAGACTTATAAAACTTTTAGTCATCTATATGAATCAAACAAACTAACAATACAAATTATCATAAAAGCAATATTTTTAAGGAAACTAATGAAAATAATTTGAAAACTTTGAGTTTTAATCAAAAGAGAAAATTAGAATGTCTTATATCTTTTCTATAGTTGTTAGATTAAACATTCATCTCTTTTAAAGAAGAAAAACTTGTGCTGGGCTTGACTTGCCATTGGATTTTGTTGAGTGGCACTACAATCCTCTCAAAACTCGCCACGTGGCAAGTCTTAAATATAATATTTTTTTTATTCTCTTATATTTAACATTCTAATAATTATATTTTTTATTAATTATTATACACCATGAAATCAAATCTAATGGTTCATTTTTTTTCTTCTTTTTCTCTCTCATTTTTCTTCCCATTTTTTCCCTGCCGTCTTCTTCCCACAAATTCTCTGCCATCTTCTTCCCACTCCTTTCTCTAAATACAAATGTGCATACTATTTTCGAGTTGATTTTTTCGCAATCTATTTGTACACTTAACTCTTTGAGTGGATTTCAGATTTTTACAGAGAACATATCTAAACTAAAAGCAAGATATCACTTACTACAAGGTTATTTAGCTTGTTATGCCATATAATAAGCTTAGAAAATACTAAGCAAAAACCTATCATTTGAAAAAAAATCAAAGGAAAATTAATGATAAGGGCTTGAAAGCTTTGAGTCTTAATAATAAAGAAAAAAATAAAGAGTAAAGTGAATAGTACCAGAATTGACTTTTTAGTGTAAAAATGTGGTTTTTCTTTAAAATGAACAGTACCATGGGCTTTTCATTAAAACTCTCAAAAATCAAAGATTAGACTAATATATTAATAAAATACTCATAGTAAAGAAGGTAGTGTCAGTATACCCTAATTTTTATTATAAAATATAAAGAAACCAAATACCCTCACTTGAACCCGTAACCCCCAATTAAAGAAAGAAAGAATTAACTCTAATATGCGATCAAATATACTATTAATAAGGAATAAAAAAAACTTAGAGATTTTTGGTTACTTCCATGATAAGGTGGGATAAGGTTTTTTTTGGGGT